GTGCGCTCTAGGATGTTTGCATAACAACCAGTTGCTTAATGATGCCTTTCTCAGAACATATGTGGCAATCTCTTAGAACCGTGCCTGACCCTGCAGAGCATCTTACAGGTCAGCAGTGGTCATCCATGAGCTGGGGTGAAGCCCGCAGGTGAAGACAGGTGCTGTTCTCACAGTAGGTGATGTGAGTACAGCATGGGACAGCCAGGAGGTGGATAGGGGGCCCGTACACACCAAGAGGGAAGGGGCCGGAGTCTCCTCTGTTCCTTGTGACTCTCCTACAATGCCTGAGTTGTGGTGATTCACAACTGAATCTAACCGGAGCAGCCCAGGTGTACTGAGGGCTGCTTTGTGGATGCTGTGTGTCCCCCTTGCTGAAGCTCGTGTTGGTCACGTGTGTCCACAGTTGGTAGACTCCTTCTCACACACAGGCCTTATGTCTAGCCTGAGGGACACAGCTCTGTCTACTCTGAAGCAAAATGTGAGAAACAGTTCAGCCCAGTGTTCCGAGAGTATTTCTTACTAGGAGGGAGTCTGCTGGGGAGAACCTGACAGCATCCACCCATGTGTGCCATCCCCTCAGTCGTGCAAAGCAGGACATTGACCTTCCAGGACCAGAGAACAAGTTGAAGCAGCCAGCCCCATGTCCTTGGAAGCAGCCCCACTGGCAACAGGCTATTAGAGTGACTCCTAGTGGATTCTTCCTTGATTTTATCATTATTTTTTCACTACAGTTCTCACACACATCTTCCTTGGTTTCTTAAAGTGGTTCTGAAGACCAGAAAAGATGAGAAGATACTGGTTAGCATGCAGATTTGAGGAGCAGAGGGTAAAATTTTATGTTACTTTTAAAACTGGAGGAACAGCAGCTACAGACAAAATACTGATTAGCACTTGCTTGCATATCACGTCATCATGTGTACCCCTCAATTATCACATCAACTGAGAACAGCAGCTATGAGTCTGTGTGTGCACAGAGATATGTGTGTGTACATCCTTTGGGGGTGTGTGCAAGGGCTGTGTGTGCATGCACGTGTGAGGGTGTGTGAGCATGTGTGTGTATGCATGAGGGTGTATGCATGTGTAAAGTGCATGTGTGAAGGTATATGTGTGTGAGTGTGTATGCATGTGAGGTGTGTGAGCACCTGTGAGGGTGTGTGTGTGAGGGTGTATGTGTTATGGTATGCCTGTGTGAGGGTGTATGCATGTGAGGATGTATGCCTGTGTGAGGGTGCATGTATGTGTGAGGGTGTATGCGTGTGTGAGGATGCTTGTGTGTGTGAGAGTGTATGTGTTAGGGTGTATACCTGTGTGAGGGTGTATGCCTGTGTGAGGGTGTGTGAGCATGTGCTGAGGTGTATGCATGTGCGAGGGTGTATGAGTGTGTAGGTGCATGTGTGTGTAGGTGCATGTGTGTGTAGGTGCATGTGTGCATGAGGGTGTGTGTAGGTGCATGTGTAGGTGTATGTGTGTGTGGGCATGTGAGCGTGTGAGTGCAAGCATGTGTGAGGGTGTATGCATGTGTGGATGCACACGTGCATGAGGAGTATGAGTGCTTAATACATGTGAGGGTACATGCATGTGTGAGGGTGCATATGTTTAAAGATTCGTGTGTGTGAGGGGTGCATGTGTGAGAGGTGCATGTGTATGTAGGTGCATGTGTGTGAGGGGCATGCGTGTGTGGGGGTGCATATGTGAAGGTGTAAGGGTGCATGCACGTGCGTGGTGGGTTTATGTGAGGGTGTGCGAGCATGTATGAGGTTGTAAGCATGTGTGAGGGTGCAAGCATGTATGAGTGTGTGTGGGTGCATGAGTGTGTGAGGGTGTGCGAGCATGTGTGAGGGTGTATGTGTGGGGGGTGCATGTGTGTGGGGGGGGTGCATGTGTGTGTAGGGGTGTATGCGTGTGGGAGAGTACATGTGTGTGATGGTGCATGTGTGTGTGAAGGTGTGAACATGTGTGTATCCCTTGTGTTCCAGGGCTGCTGGTCATGTGCCTGGAATAATTTCATCTAGGCTGTGTGACATTCAGGTGATGTTGGCTCCAAATTTAACTAGATAGGAAAGACAACAAAAGTTAATTTCATTCTTAATTCATTAAAGCTTAGGCCGGTATGATGGTGCATGCCTGTAGTCCCAACTACTCAGGAGACTGAGGCAGGAAGTTGGCTTGAGCCCAGGAGTTCACATCTAGCCTGGGCAACAGAGTAAGACCTTGCCTCTAAAAAAAATTAAATCAGCTTCTGAAGATAAGTATGTGAAAGACCCTGTGAGTGTGCCACCTGTATGCTTGTGGGAATGATCCACTCCTCCCAGCAAAGCACATCACACTTACCAGATTCCCACTATGCAAGGTCAGTGTGTGCAATATTGTACTGGAAAATACCCAGGCTGAGAACCTAGAGAGTACAGGATGTTTCAGTTAGTTGTAGATTGCGTGATTTTCTAACATCATCTCAGAAAGAGCAGTTACCCTCGAGCAGCGTGACTACAGCCCAAGGCAAACCCTAGGATAAAGGGGTTGCCTCGCACAGCTGCAGGGTTAGGCACTGTCTGAGCTCAAGCCATCCTTAGTGCACTGCTGGTTCCCACTGGGAGTCTATCGCCACAGTCAAGCTGAGAAAGTATCCCTGGGGATAAGCCTGGCAGAGTCATCTGGTTTTGTCTGTGTTCCCACCAGTGGCTTTCACCTCCTTCCGCTGCTTCAGCAGACAGGTGGTTGTCTCGTTAGATCTTGATGTGACTTAGATGTGTCTCCTGAGCTGTTCGGTGGCAGTCAGGGCAGAGCCGCTGCGCTTAGACATGTCTCCATGTGGAAGGCGGCCTCGTGTCCACAGCCAGGCAGGATGGGGAGGCAGAGTCAGGTGGTCGGCAGGCTGAGTGGACGCTCAGGAGCAGGCAGTGGTGGAGGCTTAGGCCTGAGACCGTGGCTCTCAGAGCTGCCACGGTGACAGAACTTTCCTAAAACCATGGATTTGGAGGGACCAAAAAACTGATCTTTTTTTCCTGATAGTCCATTCCAGACTTGAGTCAGTTCTAAATGTGCTCCCTTAATTCCTCCTGGTTTATTTTCATCTTAGTTGCTATCTGATGAAGGTGCTGTCAGAGTTATGGAAACAACTTGGGCAAATCACCGAGGGCACCTAGAAGCAAGGGCCCGTGCATTCTAGTGCCCCGCAGCTGTGGCGATGTGCTGGCTCTTCCTGCCACTCTTCCTTCTGTCTTGCCATGGGCTGAAAATAACAGGCAGACAGCGGTTGGGGTTCATCCTCCAAGTACTGCTCCGTCCCTCTGCAAAGCTGTGAAGTACTGCACAGAAGCCAGGGCAGAACTGTCTGGGATGACTGAAAACTCCATGTTTGTGACAAAAATGGAAGCAACCCAAAGTTGTCAGAAGAAAAAATAATAAAAATGTCTGGCCACTGTGTTGAGAAATGTGTCCTAAGTCAGTTCATTGTGGTTCATGACACCGTCCCAGTGTCTGCACGCTGCACAGGCTTCCCAGGCCACACTCCGGGCGCTGTCCCCACTGCGGTCCGGACCAGCCCGTGCAGCCGTCGGTCGCCTCCTGGTGGCAACCTGTCGCCTGCATTGGTGAGGCCCTCATCCTGGGAAATGGCAAAAGGTGACCCCCTTTAAGGGTAGAATATAGGAAGGCACCCATGATATAGCAAGGGACATGCTGGTAACTCCCCTTAGATGATATAGGAAAGGAACACATTTCAGATCGTAATTCATTAATGTAGATTTTAGTCTTAATTTGCTGAAGGAGAGTAGATTAAAAGCAGGGAAAAGGTTAGGCTCTCTCACAAATCTCTCATTCTTAGGAAGGCATTCAAGGTTACAACAATTAGGAGGGCAAGTTTGTGGGACTAGCAGTTAGGTTCCTGCAAAGCTGGAAGGAGCCATCTTATTCTTCAGCTTTATTGAGACATAATTCAGCATCCAGCCAATTAACTTGTCCAATCCAGTGTTTCTTAGTGTGTTCAGAGTTGTGCAGCCAATGCCATAGTCAGTTTTAGGACATTTTCATCACCCCAAAAATAAGTCTCTGTGCCTGTTAAGTAGTCTTTCCCCATCTCCCCAACCCCCAGCCCCTGGAACCTCTAACCTGCTTTCTGTCTCTCTCGGTTTTCCTGTTCTGGAAATTTCACATGAAAGGAATTACAGAGTCCATGGTCTGTGTGCCTGGCCTCTCTCACTCAGCGTGAGTGAGTGGCTCACTCGGATGCTTTAGTGGCTCATCTGTGGTGTTATCTGTGTTATGGCTTATTCATGTCGTGGATCATTTGTGTCGTCATCTGTGGTGTGGCTCATCCGTGTCATGGCCTGTTTCAGTGCCTCTCTCTTGCTTGTGGCTGAATGAGACCCCACTGTATGGATGGACCACACTGTGTTCATCTGTTCATCAGTTGATGGACATTGTGGTTGTTTCCACCTCTTGGCCACCATGAATGATGCCGCCGTGAATACTCACATATGACTCTGTGAGATCACGTGGAGTCACAGCAGCCTGGCAGTTCCTCAGAGGCTCAAACATAGAGTTGCCACATGACCAGCGCCTAGGCTAAAAGGAATAAGAGCGGACACCCTTGTCTTGTTCCTGACCTTAGTTGGAGGTGCCCAGGGTTTGGCATTGAGTGTGACCTTAGCTGTGGGTTTTCATAAATGCCCCTCATCTGGTTGAAGCCCTAGTGTTTCGTTTTCACATCAGGGGCAAATGCATTGGGGTGGGTTCTTAATTTCCTCCAGTTTGGACAATAAAAAGGACCAAGAAAAACAGAACTCTTTGACTGCTAACATATGTGTAAAAAGAAAGTTTGTAGAAACAAGAATTAAAGTGCTTTTAGCAGTGTGGTCATCACTGCACACAGGACACTGGAATTATAATTTGGGGTTTTGTCTGTCCATGTGGTTTTGTTATATGTCATGTGCTCTCAGCTCAGACGGGGACATCCAACTGACTTCTGACTTGGGGAATTTAAACTTTATACCACAGCTTTATTTAGAGGATTTATTTATTGTGTTTTCCATTTGTTTTTATTTAAAAGTTGTATAAAAATTGTTAGGGCTGTTTTTGATCAAGAAAAATCATTATGACGGGTTTTGCTAAACCCATATACCTTTGTGGTCTGGGGAGCGGTGAGTGCTGAAGCCAAGCGAATGTCTGCAGAAACACACAAGGGGCTTCTCTCAGCTTCAGAGACATGAAGCAGGATGAAGCAGGCTCCTAGGCAGAGAGTACTTGGAGAGAGAACGACCACACAGTGCACAAGCTGGGGCTGTGAGTGCCACACGAAGGATCATGTGCTGAGCCATGGGGGACTCAGCTTGGGGCGATTAGAACTCCAGGGCCTGCCCCACCCGTTCTGACTGGCACTGCCCTCAGGAAGCCATCTCTGCCTGAAACCCATTAGAGCCAGGGAGATTTGTCTGGCTGTAAAGGAAGAAGACGGATGCTGGTGGTTTTTTGTCTTTTGGTTGTTGTTTTAGAGCCACTGGGAAGATCAGCATACTTTTCCACTCTGGGTGTGTGGCTCTGCCCTTCTCCAAGCTCACCTGCAGCTTGTTTTGCAAAAATCTTCCCTTTGGCTTTATCTCCCTTCTCCAATTGCAGCCCATGTTCTAATGTCAAGACTGCAAATGAGATTCAGGCCTTTGAACAGCCTGACTCTGTAGGAACCACCTTCCAACCTGCTGGAAACGTGCATGTGAGGCCAGGGTTCTTACCCTCAGCACGGCGGATCTTCTGGGCCGGCCATTTCTTTCCTGGGGCATCTGCAAGTGGATAGCTGTTTATCGGTGCTCCTGGCCTCTTCCATCTAGATACCAGGAGCATCCCCCAACTTGTGACAACTAGAATGTCCCCAGATGTCCACATCTGGGAGCAGAACCATGGGGCTAAGTTGTGGCTGTCCCTGTGGTGGGCTGTCTGTTGTGATGAGAAACGGCTGGACCTGCAGGTGGACGTCTGGCCCCCAACAAAGCTTGTACAAGGTGAGACCCAGGAGCATGTGATGCCTATGCCAAGCTTATTGGTGGGAACTGCCGTTAGGCTTACCTCCTCCAGGAAATGGCGAGCAGCCCTGCCATTCACCACTAAAGTGCCATAGAGACAGTTAAGCTTGAGAATGTGATTGGCATTCTGAAAACACCCAGGGGCCGCAGTGTGCCCCAGCTGGCAGAGGGTGAGGACTCCCGACACTGGTTGGGTTGGTCCTGGAAGGGCCCCTGTGAGGACTGGAGGGCATACACCGTGGAGCAGAGCCCCCTCCAGTGCAATGTGGAGCCTCTGTGAGCATGGTGCTGCATTCCCAGGTGCTGCCGGCTGCGCCCCTCCCAACTGCGTGTCCTTGCCTGCCAGCCCCAGCTGTCACTGCCCACGTCCTGCCTGGCTCTCCTGCCGGGAACTTCCCAAGCAGAGGCCTCAGGTAGCAGGCACTCCTTGCCCCCTCTGCCACTTGGGCTGCTGAGAGTATATCACCAGGAGTGAGCTCAGGCCCTGGTTTGCCCAGCCAGGCCTCTATCCCACTTTTCCACAGGACATTTAGCTTCCCCTTTCCCATCCTCTCTGCAGATCCCTGAACTTTCATTCCGAGGCACAAGTGGGCTCTCCCATAAGGCTCTGCCTCCCTTGACGGAGGTGAGACCAGCTACAGCGTAGCTCCTGGCAGCCGGGAGCCCCTCTGAGATGAGTCAGGTAGCATGCTCACGGCACATTCGTGTGGCTTCAGTTCTTTGACCATCGTATTCCTAACCAAAGCATAAACTTTAGGATCACTCTGGATTTTGCATTACCCAAACCATTTGCTTTTAATGATAATAGTGTCTTGGCAGAGTTCTTGCTCTTGGACTTAGTGTGGTGATGGTGACTGCCATGCATGGAACCCATGGCATGGGGATCTGTCACTGTGCTCATTAACTGAGGAGGAGTTGCAGTCACTGTCCAGAAGGCACAGGCAGTGGCCAGGGACAGTAGCAAGGCCAACCGTTGTAGAACCCGTGCTCCTAATAGCTTACCTGCACCTCTCCTCTTGGTTCTGCATGTCTTTACATGGAACAGCTGATTTCACCTGGGTCCAGGCCAGTAGGGGACCCTGAAGCAAGCCTCCTGGGTGGGGGGAGGCACTGGCATGTCACGGACGTCCCGTTGGCCATCTGTGGTGGATTTGGGGGCCAGTGGCCTGCTGAAGGCAGGACACGCCCTGGCACAGGAGCAGGCATGGGCGGGAGAGCATGTTGCTGCAGTCTGGGGCATGCCAGCCCGGCTGCCAGAGATGAGCTCATCCTCCCTGGGACTTGCTGAGTGTCTGAGGCCTTTTCACCGAGGCTCACCTGAGTGACTTCAGCGCCGGGGGATTACCAGGGAAAAATGTTCCCCTTTAGTTTGAAAAAAAAAAAAAAAAAAAAAAAAAAAAACTGCAGCCAGCCCTCAGGCCCTTCCTGTGAAGGCACCATGGGCCACACCATGTGACCTTGGCTGTGGGCACTGGGCCAGCCTCTGGTGCTCACCAGCTGGTGCATTGGGAGGTCTCAGGGGTGGGCAGTGAGTTCCCATTGGCACTTTGTGACAAGCTCCTTCTCTTCATGGCCTCTGAAAAACATTGTATGAAATGGGAAATTGTCGGTGGTGGTTAGTGCTCTCCCTGGGCTCTGTCTCCCTGCAGGACGCCACCCACCTGATGGGCTCTTCTGCCTGTCTCCTAGTCTTCCTTTCTCACTCTCTCCCTGGAATAGGAGCCACTGACTTGAAACCTTCATGCTGTTTTGGGTTGACCTGTTCCTACACCTGGGAGGAAGTGATGGGGCAGGGCTAAGAGAGGCGACCTTGCCATGCTATCGGCATAGTGTCCGTCTGCACAGATTTGTGGACATCTGTTTTCTGCCTTGTGTGTTCTGTAGATAAAGACGCTTGTGCCATGTGAAGGTAGCACTCCTTCATACTCTGTGAGCTCCACTCTCTCATCCTAGCAGGAAAATCTGGGGCAAGAGCCAGCATTGCTAGGGAGTCTGGGGGCTGGGACATGGTTTTACCGAAGTGCTACGGTTGGAGGCATCCCTAACGCAAAAATGACCAAAAGCCAGACTGGACACTGGAAATGGGCTTCAAGGAGGATGGCTGCAAGCTGGGATTCTTCAGGGATGCTCCTCTCTGTGGGTTCTCAGCATGCAGGCACAGAAGGCTGGAGGATTCTGCCTTTCCTGAGGGAAGACACTGTTGGAAGGGCAGGTGCAGCCAGGAGCAGGAATCGCCAGTGAAGGAATGGGGCTCCCCTCAGCCCAGCAACCACAGACACTGAGCTCTAGAGGAGTCTGGCTGGAAGGTACAAGTTTACAAAGCTTGGGCCAGAGGCATCTCCCTGAGGAGTCAGACCTGTTCTCCTAGGGTGCAGCGCTGAACCTACTGGGAGCAGGTGCTTGAGATTTTTATAGAGATCACTGCAGCTTTTCCAATGATATCTCCACTGGGACAGACATGGGGATGCAATGCAGGTCTCCCCATCTCACTTGTACTGTCTCGTCTGCTGGGTGGATCTTAGGAGCAAGACACAGCTGTATCTGGAAGAATCAAGCACGGAAAGAAAGTTTCTTGTCTAAGGCAATATGTGGTCTTGCTGGATCACGATTATTCCATACCTGTGTGTGTGTGTGTGTGTGTGTGTGTACACGCACACATGTGCTTCCCATTTGAAATGTGATTCTCTTGTGCAGGTGTGTGTGCATGTGCTTCCCATTTGGACTGATATTTATTTCATGCATGTGTGGTGGGCGTGTGTGCATGTATGTGCTTCCCATTTGGACTGCCGATTTATCCATGCATGTACTTCCCATTTGGACTGCAATTTATCCTACGTGTGTGTGCATGTGTGTGTGTGCGTGTACACGTGTGTGTGCTTCCCATTTGGACTGTGATTTATCCTGTGTGTTTGCATGTCTGAGTGTTTGTGTGTATATGTGTGTGCTTCCCATTTGGGCTATCCAGTGTGTGTGTGCGTACGTGTGCATGTACATGTGTGTGTGCTTTCCATTTGGACTGTGATTTATGCTGTGTTTGTGTGCATGTGTGTTTGTGTGTATATGTGTATGTATGCTTCCCATTTGGGATGTGATTTATCACGTGGGTGTGTGCTCACGCATATGTGTGTGCTTCCCATTTGGATTGCGATTTATCGTGTGTGTCTGTGTGTGTGTGCGCACGCGTGCTTCCCATTTGGACTGTGATTTATCCCATGTGCACGTGTGTGCACACTGCCATGTGGACTGACTTATCCCATGTGGGTGTGTGTGCACATGTGTGTACACACTCCCCACCTGGACTGCAATTTATCACGTGTGTGTGTGTGTGTGTGTGTGTCCTGTTTGGTTTTTAAGGATCGTGAAGGACTGTTTACATAGATCATGTTTTGCTTGTGACCACTGTGGTACCGGGGGGAGCATTTTTCCGCTGTAGTGAGCTATTTGCCCTGTCGGGAGCTTGGCCTTGGCTGCACGGCAGGCAATATGGGGGAGGCTTTCTTTAAGGCTGGTTTGTACTTTTATTCCTTCCCATTTTTCCCTTCCAGTTCCACACAGAAATGTTTGCCTCCACCCGCTTCCATAGCAAACTGCGCCCTTCTCCCTACCCTGGCCAACATTAACTATCGCCTGCCTTTCTCTTGAGGCTAAGACCTGAGTGGAAGCTGAGACCCAGGACCAGATGCTGTGTGGCAGCTCTAGGGCCTTTGTTCCGTTTTTAATTTTGAAGGGAGTAGGAAGTATACATTGTAAGCTGGCACTTACTTGGACATTAGGTCTGGAGTTGAAATAAAAGAGGTACTGGTTTTGAAAATTACATATATATTCTGAGTATAAAGTAAACATACGATGTGTCCATCAGCCTTTTCTTAGTGAGTTGAGTCCTTTCAGGTAGAGACACAAGGAAAAACTTGATTTAAAGCACATGTGCATACTTTAAACCTGATCCGGTTACCTGCTCCAATTCCTATTTTACAATGTTATTCCCTCCTCTTCAACGTGCTTCTCTATACCACTGATACTTTCTGGGAAAAAATGTGAATTTCTGTCTGCTTCAAGAAGTACCAGTTGCCCCTACCTCCACCTTTCTCTCTTCCTCCTGGGTCTTGGAGCTCTGTCCTCCTCCACCTCTGGGTCCCCACACCACAGACCCTCAGGGTACAGCCAGCCTCTTCTCCCTTTGGAAGGCATCTCCTCCAGGAAGCGCCTCAGGACTTGCCACCCTCTTACCAGCATGATATCCCAGCAGGGCACTCACCTCCAATGTGACTGGATCTGGTGGACATTTGGAGGTTTTGGATTTACAGGTACCATCTGCAGAATCTCACAGAAACAAGCCCGAGAGTGGCCCTCAGAAAACACTAATGTAAAATATAGCAGTTCTGCATCTAGGAAGTGAACAACGTGGACCTCAGCGGCGGATCTGTGTAGTGGTTCACTGTGGTGTTATTTTGTGATGGTGAACATCTGGCAAAAGCCCAAACACCTACCTGCTAGGGGCTGAATAGGTAGAGGCACGTCCCTGCAGTGGTGGAACGAGGGATGTGCCCTGACAGAGAACGTGACTCAGATACGCTCAGCAAGAGAACGGTTATGAAACAGTGTGTGTAGTGCACAGAATCGTGTTACCTCAGGTTCTTATGTCGAAGTCCTGGCCCTTAGTATGACTGTATCTGGAGACAGGGTCTTTAGGAGGTGATGAAGGTTACATGAGATCATAAGGATGAAGCCCTGACCTAATCAGATTGTGTCATAAGCAGAGGAGGAGGCACCAGAGATCTCTGTCTCCCTGCCACGTGGGGATACAGGAAGAAGGCAGCTGTCTGTAGGCAAGGAAGAGAGCCCTCACCAGAAACTGACCATGCCAGACCTTGATCTTAGACTTTCCAGCCTTCACAACTGTGAGAAATAAATGCATTTACTTTAAGCTGTGCCATCTGTGGTATTTTGTTATGGCAGCTGGAGCTAAGACACACATTGTGTTCATACTTACGCAACAAAACAATTATTAAAGTGTGCGTTTCCTATCTAGTATGTGTTAGTTGCACTAAATAGTGTGGGGAAGTGTGTACTAGACTGTTAGGAAGAAGGATTATGGGCATTTTCTTTCTGCTTTGTTTAATCCATTTTCTCCAGGCTCTCTAGTCTTCTGATCCCAGCATGTGGGAGAAGGCTTCACCGTATTGGGTGCACTCCCTGAGTGTTGGTTAGGAATGAAAGGACAAATGCATGAGAGATTGTGTCTGAGTTTTTACAATGAACATTTTTTACTTTGGCAAAGGGGTGTGGGCTTTGAGAGATTATTCTCCTGCATCACCGAGTGCAGGAGTCTGAGCACCTGGGTCCTGCTGTTACCCCTGAGTATAAATGAAATGTGGGCTGCATCCATCAGTCCTTTCTCGGTGTGTCAGCTTCCTCCAGGCGGACATAGTGGAAAACTTGATTAAAAGCACTTGTGGGCAGGTGCAGTGGCTCATGCCTGCAATCCCAGCACTTTGGGAGGCTGAGATGAGAGGATACTTTGAGCCCAGGAGTTGTCTGTCACCTTGCTGTCACCTACTGGCCTCCAGCCTCAGTTCCCCGCTCTGTCAAAGGAAGTTGTCATTGGCCTCAAGGTCTGGGAAGACCAAGGAGGAAATGGGTGGAAAAGTTTTATGGAGCCTCTGGGACTTTCCCGAGGTGGTGGGAGCTCATCCCCCATGTCAACCCTTGGATCCTGGACCTGGTGGGATGCAGGGCCTGGAAAGAATAGGCTTGCTATGAACTTGCTGCAGTGCAGAAGATGAGGGCTCTAGGCACAGCCTTGGGGTTTTACAGCAGCCCTGTGGGAATGAGGGTGGGGCATCCCATTTTACAGATATTAACACTGGGCTTAGAACTGGTCCGGGCAGTAGATGGTGGCTCTGGGATTAGGCTAAGCTTCCCTGACTCTACAGACTGACTGCCTTTCCCTGTATCCTAAAGCCACAAAGCCAAGGAAATTTGAGCATTAGTGACCTGTTGTGACCTGGAAACTGCCCCAGGACTAACAACACAGTGGCTTCTGTGAGGCAATAGCCATGTGCTTTGAAGGGGGCTTAGCAAACTCGCTGGGGAGCAGTTCCGGGGCCACCTCTAACTGAGGCATCATTACCTTTTGGCAGAGAAAAGTGTGTCTGAGTTTGCTTTATTTTTACTTTGAGGGGTTTTTAGGAAAGAACCATTGTTTGAAGAAACTCATTTAACAGAAAAAAAGAACAGCATCAGTGTTTGCCTTCTTGCCCCTTTCTAGGTGGTGTCTCCCCAGGGTTTGCCCTTTTTTTTCTTTTTAGACTGGAGTGCAGTGGCAGTGGCTTAATCTCGGCTCACTGCAACCTCCACCTGCTGGATCCAAGCGATTCTCCTCCCTGAGCCTCCTGAGTAGCTGGGATTACAGGCGTGTGCCACCACACCCAGCTGATTTTTGCATTTTTAGTAGAGATGAGGTCTCACCGTGTTAGCCAAGCTGCTCTGAAACTCCTGACTTCAAATGACCCACTCGCTTCAGCCTTCCAAAGTGCTGAGATTACAGGCATGAGCCACCACGCCCAGCTGGTTTGCCCCTTTCCAAGCAGGTTGGGTTGGTGTCTGGCCATGACCCCTGCCCTTGTAGTTCTGAGTCTTGTCTTTGTCCGCCATGACAAACTTTTTCTGCAGCCCCAAACAGTGTGCTTCCTGGTATGCATCACACGCTCATAATGTTGGGAACCTGGTGGCTAAACATGATGGTACTTAATTTCTTAAATTAGGACTTTCTACATTGGATAGTTGGTTTGTTCACTTTTATGTCATGCTGGTTCTGGACAACTTCTAATAGTGCCTGGTATTCAGGGCTCTCTTCTCCAAGGCCGATGGAAATGTTCTCATAAGCCTGGCCCCAAGCATATGTTTCTGGTTTTTTGTTTGCTTGTTTTTACCAGAGCAACAGATAATGTTATTTGCTACTTTACTTAGAATGGCACAGGGATGTTACTTTGAATTAGGCAATGATTTCTTAAATATAACACCAAAAGCACAAGTGAAAAAGAAAAATTAGGTAAGTTGGACTTCATCGAAATTAAAACCTGTTGTATATCAATGAACACTATTGAGAAAATGAACAGAACCCCCTCACAAAATGGAAGAAAGCATTTGTAAGTCATCTTTCATACAAGAGACTTGTATTCAGAATATGTAAAGAATACTCATGGCAATAGAAAAGACAGCACAGCCAGGCATGGTGGCACAGGCCTGTAATCCCAGCATTTTGGGAGAACAAGGCAGGCAGATCCACTTGAGGTCAGGAGCTCGAGACCAGCCTAGCCAACATGACAAAACCCTGTCCCTACTAAAAATGCGAAAATTAGCCAGGTGTGGTTGTGGGCACCTATAATCCCAGCCTCAGGAGGCTGAGGCATGAGAATGGCCTGAGTCTGGGAGGCAGAAGTTGCTATGAGCCGAGATCACCTCACTGCATTCCAGCTTGGAAAACAGATCGAGACTGTATTTTAAAAAAAAACAAAAAGACAACTCAATTGAAAATGGGC